CTCACACTTCCTGACACACTAGAGCCCATTGTGGCAGTCACTTTGTTAATCTACCTGGTTGAGGACCATCCTCTCTTTCACCAACCCTCTGCCTTTCCAAGCATGATGTCCCTTTCCAAGGAATAGCCTCTCCTAGCAACATTCTCGAAGTATGTGAGGTGAAGCTTTATCATCTTTGTCTCTAAGGCGCACTGTGGCTACAGTTTCTCCAAGACATGTTCATTTGTTCTTCTGGCAGTCCTTGGAATGTTCAGTACTCTTGTCCAACACCACAGCTCAAAAGCATCGATTCTCCAATTCTTCTTCTGTCATCCTAATTCATTGTCTAGATCTCAGATGCATTGCAAGTGATCAGAAAAAGCATGGCTTAAATCAGATGCACCTTAGTCTTCAAACTGACATCACTGCCCCTCAATAATTTGGAGAGGTCCCTGACTGCAGACTTTTCCAGTGCAGTACATCTCCTGATTTCCTGACTGCTGGTAACAAGGGCTTTGATTGTGAATCCAAGTACGATGAAGTTGTGGACAGTTTCAGTCTTAGAAAACTCTATGGACAGTAGAGAACACAGATAGTTTATTGCATTAAAGGTAGATCCCAAATTGGAAGTCAATCAAAATGAGGAAAAATATGGCAAACATCCTTTAATAATTGGACCATGGAATGTAAGAAACATGAATGTTGGAAAACTGGAAATGGTGAAAAAGAAAATGGAATGCCTGAACGTCAACATTCTAGGCATTAGTGAGATGAAGTGGACTAGTCTTGGTCATTTTGAATCACAAAATCACATGGTGTACTATCCTGGGAATGAAAAACAGAAGAAGAATGGTGTTGTATTCATAGTAAAAAAGTAAATTTTAAGTTTTATCCTGAAGTATCTTGTTGTGAGTGGTAGAATATTATCCACACACATACAAGGAAGACATGTTAATAGACTGTTATTCAAATATACTCTCCTACAGCTAGAGCTGTGGTGTTGGAGAAGAGCACGGAACATCCCATGGACGGCCAAGAGACAGAACAGATATGACTTGGAGAGGGTGCAGCCAGGGTGCTCTTTGGAGGCAAGGAGGATGAGGCCTTCCCTCACATACTTTGGGCATGTTGCTAGCACGGGCTACTCCTTACAGAAGGACATGACGCTGGAAGGGTGGAGAGTGACTGTGACTGCTGCAGTGAGCTTTTGTATCGGAAAGTGTGAGGATGGTGCAGGACAGGACAGGGTTCAGATCTTTTGTTCATAGGGTCACTATATGAGTCATACTTGACTCGATGGCACCTAACAACAACAACAGCTAGAGCAGAAGAAGAAGAAATTTATTTTCTTTTCCAGGTAAAAAGATGCTTATTGATACTAAGAGATGTAACTGTTGGTTTTCATACCTCTTAATAACTTTAAACATTATTTCTATAGCAGTTTCTCAAGTAACAAGGGTCTAAGGAACAAAAATGTTTGGATTAATATACAAAATCACCTTAATGAATTACTGCAAGATGCCACTTTGCCAGCATGGGCCAGCATCTGTCTTAGTTCCTTTCCCCTTCATCTTTGGGAAATTGAAAATTTTTACCAAATCTTGCAGTCTGAAATTGACCAAACTTGCAAATCAAGATGCATTAATGATAATTGATGACCAGAATGAAAAACTTGAAAACAATGAAGAAAGAATAGTAGTTGGAAAGTATGGATTTGGTGATAGAAATGAGACTGGAAATAGAATGATCAAATTTTGTATTTTCAACAATTTATTCATTGCAAATACCTTTAAAAAAAACCCAAATGGTGATTTCACACATGGACATAGCTGTTGGACTGCATAGGACTCAGACTGACTACACCAGTGAAAGGAATGATTGGAGAAGCTCTACATCAGCAGTCAAAATTGGGCCAGATGTGGACGGTAGGTCAGACCATCAGTTATTCCTGTGGAAGCTCAAATTGAGGCAGAAGAAAATGAAAACAAGTCCATAGGAGCCAAAATATACACAACCTTGAAGGTTTTGAATTTTCATTTAGTAAATATGTCTATTGTGCTTATTATTTGTCATTCAGTTAATCTTCATAGCAGTTCAGTAAGTTGGATATGATTATTATCCTCTTTTGTTCGATGAGGAAACTGAAGCACAGAGATGTTAACTATTTTGCTCAAGTGCTAGGAAGTGTCAGAAGATCTGCTTCCTAAAGTGTGTTCTCGATCACTCTGCTGATTACGTGCTACATGGCTTCTGCCCTCGTTGTACAAAGAGCAAGCTAGTTTCAGCACCCCTTGTGTCCTTCAAGGGCAGACACTACGAACAGGAGTGGTTTGCTCACAAGAGCGTCCTTGGCTTGCTTCTCCAGAGGTGAGCGATGTGTCTCAGAACTGCTCTCTGAAGCTGCTGCCTGCAGAAACCACACTTCAGTTGAAGAGAAACCCTGTTTAAGACTGTTGGAGAAGATTTTATCACTGGCCTTCTAATACAGTGGCCACACTTAGCTTGTGGTCCAGAGTGTGGGTCATCATCAGATTAGGTATGTATGTAGTTGGACAACATGCTGCCGGATCTGAAGGACCACAGGACCTTGGGAGGTGTGTGCAGAGAGAAAGTAAGTAGAGAGCGACTCGAAGCCTCCTGTTGATGCTCTCATTCCACCTTGGTCAACTAGTGTCTAGGAGGAGGAAAGATCCTTTATATAGGAGCATGGGAAGAGTTTACAGTTGCTTTAATGTGGGGCTTCCATGTCCACATCTCACTAGTGGCTCAGTCCTAGAGTGCAGATTACCTTCTCATTCAACAGACATTCCTTTGTAACCTTTAACATTTACTCTGGAAGGACCAGAGAAGTGTAAGATGTGAGTCTTACCTTTAAGATGCTAGGGATGTGGAAGTATCTGGAAGGGTGAGAAGAATGTCTAGTTAATAAGCCTTCATTACAAGTAGAGGATCTTGGAGGGTAGGTCTTTAGGAATGTTTGAAGGTGAGGTTTGAGCCAGGTATTGGACAATGAGAAGATATAATAGGTGGGAGACACAGGAAGTGCTGGGTCTCCTCTGTGAGCCCCTTCAGACCTGCTGTCCACCCTCTCTTGAATTCTCTAGAAGTTAGCCAAGATCTATTTCATCAGCGCTAATCCTGTCTAGCTTACTGAACTGCTCTGAAGATTAAATGGATTGTCCTCAGCTTCAAGTTCTATTTACTCAGTCAGAGGCACCAAGAAGTTAGAAGACAGGAGAGTGAAGTTACTGAAGTCTGTAGGGAGTTGCCCTGCCAACCTCCGATGTGCCAGTGGTGATGTGGAAAGATGCACCAGCTCTTCCCATGTGGTTAATAGCCTCCAAAGACCCACTTGAGGGTCAGTTAGGAGTCAGTTCCAACTGGACAGGAATGAGATTTTAGTCTGAGCTTACTAACACAGTTACTTCCTGCTGGGTAGCTATGAATGAGTTAATCTTTTCCTGGATGACACAGGTCCTAATAGGCAGCTCATCTCTGCGTAGCTGCTTTCTCCAGCACATCAAGCCTAGATGTGATCCCAGTTCTCTTCTCCTTCCCTATCCTGTGCCACCCTCACCATCTCTGATAGACTGACATACTGACTATAGGAATGGGCTGGAGTAAATCTCATTGAAGGTCTTCCTCTCTTTCATTGAACCTCCGCCTTTCCAAACATGATGTGTTTTTCCAAGGACTGGCCTCTCTGAACAACATGCCCAAAGTATGTGAGGTGAAGTGTCATCATTCTTGCCTTTAAGGAGCACCATGGTTGCACCACCTCCAAAATATATCTGTATATTCTTTTGAAAGTCCATGGAATATTCAGTATTCTTTCCCAGATCACAACTCAAAGCCATCTGTCCTCCTGCCATCCTTATTCATTGTCCAACATCCAGACACAAAGAAAATTATTAAAAAGACCATGGCTTGGATTAGGTGCATCTCACACTTTAAGCTGACATCATTGCTCCTTAGAACTTTGGAGAAGTCCTGCAGAGAGACTATTTTTCCAGTGGGATAAGTCTTTTGATTTTTTGACTGCTGATACAAGAGTGTTGATTGTAGAGCCAAGCAAAATAAAATTGTTGACAATTTCAATTCTTTCTCAGTCTCTCATGATGTTACCTGTTGACCTAGTGTTGAGAAATTTTGTTTTCTCAATTTTGAGATATCATGTGTATTGAAGACTGTAATTTTTGATCTGCAGCAAGTACTTCAGGTCCTCTTGACTTTGAGCAAGCAAGTCTGTGTCATCTACATAATGCAGGTTGTTGATGAATCTTCCACTAATCCAAGTGTCACTTTTTTCTTCATAAAGTCCAGCTTCCAGAATGATTTGTTCAAAATACAGATTGAATAAATATGGAGAAAGGATACAATCTTGATGCCTACCTATCTTGGTTTTTATTCCCTTGCTGGGGTCACACAACAGCTTCTTGGCCTAGGTCCAGATTTCACACAAGCATAATTGAATGTTCTGGGATTCCCATTTCTTTTCAATGTTAACCATTGTTTGTTGTGATCCACAGTCAAATACCTTTGCAAAGTCAATAAAACACAAACAGACATCCTTCTGGTATTCTGTTCTCAGCTTTCAGCTAAGATCCATCTGACATCAGCAATCTGCCCACATTGCTGTAGAATGTTGATTTGCTTTGTTTAACCACTCTTCAGATTAAGTTTAAATGTGTTGTCTGTCTCCTACCAGGAACTCTACTCAAACAAAAGCATTTCAGAGATAACAGGAAGGTGGGTGGGAAACAAAGATGAGAACTTATAGACTGGTCTGGCCAAACACCTAAGGGGGTAGAGGAGGGTATGTAAGGATTTAGAATATGAAGAGATTTGGGTATCAAATAAAGAAGTGTGAAATCACTGAATGTTCTATAGATATGTGTAACTTTACACCTCTATACCAGTCCATCTCTTCTCTCTTCCAGGAGACGTCCACTGCCTCCTCCGTGTCCTGGTTGCTCCCCCTGATTGCCTCAGTGCGCCCCTTCCACCAGCTCCTCCAGCCTGAGGTCCAGGATGGCACTGCCTCTCAGCTCCTACCTCAGCTGCTGTTTGGCTGTGCTCTCGCTTCTCCCCTCCCTGAGTCTGGCCCAGTATGAGGGCTGGCCCTACTACCCTGAGTACTTCCAGCAGCCTGCTCCTGAGTACCACCAGCCACAGGTGCCCTCTGACGTTGTCAAGATCCAGCTGCGCCTGGCCGGGCAGAAACGGAAGCACAGTGAGGGGCGAGTGGAGGTGTATTACAATGGGGAGTGGGGCACTGTCTGTGATGACGACTTCTCCATCCATGCTGCCCACGTGGTCTGCCGGGAGCTGGGATACGTGGAGGCCAAGGCCTGGACTGCCAGCTCCTCTTACGGCAAGGGGGAAGGTAAATTCTCTGAGTTTCGGAAATGGGAACAGTCTTACACAGAGTTAAGATGGAAGCTGCAATTACTAACAAGTATGATCCCTGATAATACTCCATGCAGGGCAACCTTCAGTGGCTGTTTAGGTGTGCCCTGCAAATACAGGTTGGGAAAGGGAGGATGCTACTGGTAGTAGGAGAAATGGAGACTAACAATGGAGTGACCATTATTTAGGAAGTTGCTGAGTTTAGCACTGATCGTGTGACTTCCTGGTAAACCCCTCAGTCCCAAGCAAAGCAGGACAGTGTGGTTGCCCAGGTAGGAGCTGAAATCAGCCTGTCTTATCTCTGCGTGCCAGACGACCTGTCTGGCAGCTGCATCTGCCCGGGGAAGTGGTGACTCACAGAGTGCCTTTGCTTTTGCTCACAAAGGCTTCTTAGATTTTAGTTCACAGTTCTCACCCTAGTATGAGAGGAACAGAGTTGCTTTGGAGTTTTCTCATGTGCCCTGATTCTCTCCTTTATTAGGTTCAAATAAAATTTTTGTTTAAAAAACCTTCTTCTGAGAACTCTGAGAAAAGGTTAGTTCCTGGAGCTGAGAACCTCACTCTCAGTCTAGTGCTGACCTGATTACCGTAGGATTTTGAGGAAGTTGGTTTCTCTCTCTGGCTTCAGCTTCCCCAACTTGAAGTAGTATTCTCCATGAATCCTGACATTTTTATTTTCCTTAGTGGAAAAGTGGATGTGGGTGAAGAACATGATTTTTAAAAATGCCAGTACAAAGAGCTTCCTGTCACTCACTAAAACAAGGCAGCTCCGCTAGTGACAGAGACATTGAACACTGGGGCATCAGGCAAGGGGAGGCATCTGCATTAAAGAAGCTCTAAACTTCTGGCCTGGACAGGTGGATTAATGACATACTGGCTGAGTTAGAATCATCTGGTGCCTTGGAAGACAAGTAGCTCAGACCTCAACCCATGATATTCTGGCTTAGTAGGTCTTGCTTGGAGCCTGGAATGCTTGAGCTTTTTGAAACTCTGCCAGGATTTGAGATAATCCTGTAAGTGTGGGAGATGCTGACAACGATATTTATGGTTCCTTCTGGGCTATTTTCAGTTATTCTACCCATTCTAAGAGAAAGGAAAGGCCATGTTATACACGTGTCTCATCTTAGGGAAGTTGAAAATTTGCTGTTGGAGTAACAACCTCTAGAGACCACAGTTAAAGTGAAATATTTACCAACACTGACTCTGGGCTACTTAGCAGTGATTGGGGTGGTGGTGAGGGGAAGCAGCAAAAACAAGTTAGCAAACATTAGGTTTTAAAAGCCACTTCCTATCTTGTTTACAAAAATTACTGACACTTCTATGTAATTCCACATCTGTGTTTATTCTACTAGCAGAGCGATCCAGAGGAAACGTCAGATTTATGTTTTTTATAGCAGGTGCTCTCCAATGGCTTTAGGCTTTTTTCAGGAACAAGTTTACTTCTGCCCCAACTTAAAGTTTATCTGTCATCGGACAGCATGCTTGTGTTTCTGTTGTACCCATGGCTATCCGTGTTCACCTGCTCACATTGGGTGCAGATGAGGGTGGCTGGAAAAGTGGGTTTACCTGTGTTGAACTTGACCATCCAAGGATGATAAAGAGAGAAAAGTTTAAAGGAGTAAAGGGCTATTCAAGGAAGAAATTAAAATCCTGGACCACGGAATCTGAGTGTTTCAGTCAGAGTTCTCTGGTTAAATTGGACGAGAGAAAGTTGTTTCCTTCAGAGAGTTGCCTCACATAATTGTAGAGATCCAGCAAGTCCAAAATTTATAACTTAGGCAACAGGACAGAAGCTTCTGAAGATTACAAGATAAAATCTATAAATCAGTCAATACAAAGAAGGTGAATTTTGCCAAAATATCTATTAATAGTCCGGAGACAGAGCACATCCCAAGAAAATGTCCTTTTTCCTCCCAAGGCCCTCAGCTGATTGATTGCAATAGGTTACATTGTGGAAGGCAAGCTTATTTAATCACACACAGCCACTCCACAATAGCACCCTAACCACAGCCTAGTCAAGTTGACACAAAACCAACCCTCGCTCTGGGTTAAGAGGAAAGCAGTAGCACGAAGGAGCCGAGGAACTGTGAAAATCTACCTAAATTAGTGGATTGTGGGTCTCTGTTGTGACTGAAGGAGCCCTTGTGGTATGTGTGTAGCAGTTTGAAGCCACCAGCAGCTCTGAGGGAAAGAAATGGAAAGTCTATTTTCATAAAGCTTTACAACCTCTGAAATTATATGAGGTAGTTCTCCTCTGTCCTATAGGGCCATTCAGAGTCAGAATCATCCCAATGCCGGTGGGCATAATGGGAGTGAGTTAGAATTGGGATTCTATACGGTATTAAAAAGATGAGGGCAGGTTGGTTCAAATGGAGATTGAGTAAGTTGTCTGACTGTTGGGAAAGAGTGAGTCTTAGTTGAGAGCGTGGCTGAAACAAGGTTTGTTAAGTACCATTAAGTGGACTACAAGTCATTGTGACTGCATGAACAATAAGCTGAATCCTTGCCCTATCCTGTGTCACACTAGAACTCAGTGTTTGCAGTCATTGTGTCAGTCTATCAGAGAGTCTTCCTCCCTTTTTCAAGAACCCTCCACTTTTCCCAGCTTGATACCATCTCCTAAGGATTAGTTCTCCTGGTAATGTTCCCAAAGAATGTGAGATGAAGTTTCACCATCTTTGTCTCGAAGGAGCAGTCTGGTTCCATGTTCTCTAAGACAAATTTGTTTGACTATTTGGTACAACTATTCAATTCAAAATCGAATTGCCACAATTCAAAGGCATCAATTTTTCTTCAGTCTTCCTTATTTATTGTCTTTCTCCTGTACACCAAGTAACTGAAAATACCATGCCTTGGACCAGGTATTTTATCACTCAAAACTGCTTTAATAGCCATTGAATTTTACTTTACCTTGTGGATGGGTGGGAATATACAGGTAGGGCAGTTATCCTATCTCCATAGGGATTGGCTGATCTCACCAATCCACAAAGAGACTGACCAGTCTCACCAGTCTGCGAGGGAATTGGCTAATCTCATTAGTTCTCAAGAGGGTTGGCTAGTCTCACCAATAAATAGAGCAGATCCAGCACCAGAAAGAAGAAACCTCACAACCAGCAAAGAGCAAGCAAGAGAATGCACCTTGTCCTTCAGGACCAGAGGAATAGACGTAGCAACCACAGCAGAGAACCAGAGACCTGGCATGAGACAGAGTGGACCTCAAAACTGTTGCCCACCATGGACAGAACCAGAGTTACGCTGCGAGCCTTTTTCCAAGTTTGTTGGACAACTTGGGGAGAGGGGTGGATGGGGTGGAGAGAGCCAATATTGAGAACTTTTTAACACTGGCCAAAAGCTGCAAGGCTTAAGGCTGAGGCATCTGTGAGCACATTTCCAAAGCTGTCCTGACTGTATTCTGCTGATAACCTGGATTGTAACCTTTTGACTTCCCCAATATAGTTCTGTGTGGTCTGTGAGTTATCACATAAAATTTTGGAAATTTGCAAAGCAGTATGGTTGGTACTGAGATGGGTAGAAAGAGGTACAGGAGCCTGGGCACATGTCTGACCTCATGGGAATTGGTTTTGCATTGTGGATTATGTTGACAGGAACAGTTCTCCTTTGTGAAGTTGGTAAAGGTCAGAATGACCATTCCCATGTAGCCTGTGCCCTTTTTACAGTTACTGTTGTTGATTGCCGTTGAGTTGAACATGACTCATAGAGACCCTATGAACAAAAGACCTGAACCCTTTCTAAAACTATTGTCGTTTCTCAAAGTTCATAGACTTTCCAGAGGATGTTGTTTAGGAAGAAGATGTCACTCCTGCTTCGGAATGTTGTTACAGAGAGATGGTAAATGTCTAAAAGTGAAAGTGTCACCTAAAGTATCATCAAGAATTATGATAGGAGGAGTATCAGAGAGCAGAGAGAGATGGGTGCTCAAAAATTACTGTCATGACTCCAGGACTTTAAAGCAGGAGTGGCATCTACTTGCAAAACAGCTTGCCTCTGGAAACCCTACGAACATGGAGAAACGATGAAAGTTTTACAGGTATTCAGGTCTTTTATTCATAGTGTTGCTATGAGTCGTCTGTGACTTGACGGCACTTAACAACAACAACTTGAATAAAATTGTTCTTGGTCAGAGTCCCTGGGTGGTACAAATGTTTAATGTGCTTGACTGATCACCCAAAGGCTGAAAGTTCGAGTTTACCCAAATGCACCTTGGAAGAAAGGCCTGTGTCTTCCTTCTTAGCATTCAGGCATTGAAAACCTTCTAGGGCACACTACTACTCTGAAATAGGTGGGGTTGACCTGAGTTGGAACAATGGATTGGTGGGGCTTTTTTTTTATGCTGGTTCAACTAATAAGAGATTTTTTTTTAAATATCTCTGAATGTCATCAGCATCAGTCTGGGGTTTTTAGTGCTGATACGTGGTAAGCACTCTATGAATGTTATTTGGTTAATTCATTAAAATTCTGATTTGGGACAATATTAAAAGGAATGAAACTACTTAATATTGTGAGCATGGAGTGTGACTGGCACCCTAAGGTGTGATTTGTATGCGTGGGGATGTTAGCCTGTCAGCCAGACTCTGGATGAACTAGGGCACTGCTGCTGAGCCCATTGGAGACCACGCCTTCAGGAATTCTTGCATTCACTACGTCCTTTAAAATTTACCTTCTGCCACTGTGCAGCAGTCAGGTTGTTGTAAAGAAGCTGGGGAGAGGTTCTCAGGGGCCGTCCAGGTTTTCTGACCTGGCTTTCTAACAGGTCTCTTCTCCCTAAACACCTCAGAGTTCAGATAAATGATGTGTCCCTTTTGAAAGTTTGAGAGGGTCCAGTTATCCCATGTCTCACAAAGTGTGCCTCACAATAAGAAGAACCAGTTGGTGAACAGAATTGACCTGCTAACCTTGGCTGCTGTGCTCAGCCTATTCCTGAACTACCCTCACCCACTTCCTCAGAACAGAGTGGCA